TAACTGAAAACTTATCTTTAAAAAGACTTGTCTGTTGGTGAGTCTTCATCTGTAAAAGAAATGCAGTGTATGCCTAATTATTGCCCTCAAATAAAGAGTCATTATATGTTATTCATTGTACACTTGTTTTACTTTATTTAACAAGCTTGAGATTTGTTCATGAAACATCTCAACTTAAAACCAGATGTGTAACTAAAGCTAAACAACAAAGGTTATTCACACCTACAGCTGTTCAAGCTCACAAGTGGCTGAAAGCTCTCCCTTTCACCTACATTACTCTAAATCATAAAACTACATCAAGTTTTTAAAAAGAAATCATTGTGCTTGTTTTTGACAAATTGCACACATGTATACTGCAGTCACAGTTTAGAATTCCTCTAACCACCAGCGATTATTATTTTTATTAGAAGTTTATTATGTATTTGGTGAACCAGCGTTAATTATTAGAAGTTAGAACCGGCAAACTGTTTGTACTAAAAATAATTGCATGATTTGTCTATCAAAAATCTCATCATTCATTTTAAAATGAATCCGTTAAAAATGACAGTGACCGTGCTAACAAAAACTCTGATATGAAACGGTAAACACGTCAGTAACAGCAAAAAATCCTGCCTAGACTTGGACTTGCTAAAGTAATGTTTAAAAATGTTTCATTATTACCAGAATGTCTTTTTTTAAGTTTAAATTAAATTTACAGGTTTTTATCTTAAACATGTCACACAAATCCATCAAAATCTGGTTGGATTTATTTTTTTTGTCCTAAGTTTAGATGGCACGTGAGTCTGACTGCGAGTCACCGCCATGTTAAAATACAAACACACTGCAGAGGTGACTACGTCTTTGGTTCTCCCTACATGATTTCTGTGCCAAGTTTGTTGCGCTGTGCCTTTAAGCTCCAGTTTTTTGCCAAGGAGCGTCAGTGGGCATGATCAGAGGTGGCCAAGTTCTGCACAGAGGAAGATGAATCGAGTCCAAGCAGCGTTCCCAGGTAGGACTGCTCTCGGTGGTCCAGCATCTGATCCGCCCTCACGGGGTGGACGATGTTGCCCGGTTGAGGTGTGAGGGTGTACTTCTCTAAGAAGGCCATGTCCGTAGCCTGGTAGCTAGAGTTTTGCTGCTGTCCTTGAGTCTGCAAGCTAATGACTGTGTGAGTCTGTGAGGAGTGAGGTGGAGGCCTGTGAACGGTCAAGTCGCCCTGCGCTCCTCCAGCCATCTGGATGGGAACTAAAGTGACGGGAACGCACACGTTTGTAGGAGCGGGGCTGGTTTGGTGGCTCGACTTGGGCTCGGCATGGTACGTCTTTGAGCTTTCCTCAAAAGTAACCGACACTATTTTTTCTTCACCGATCGAGCTGAGGGGCTGCTCGGCAAAGCGCGTGCTGTGCACGTGGTCGACGTGGTACTTGAGCTTGTCTTTTCTTTTAAAAGCGGCGCTGCAGTGGGGACAGTTAAAGGGACGGACGTCTGAGTGAATCACCATGTGCTTCGTCAAAGTCTTCTTGATCCGAAATGTCTGATGGCACTCGGGACATCTGTGCGGTTTCTCACCTGTTACACATAACACAGAAAGACAGACATTCACGTCTACGGCGCCTTTAATTTTAATAATAATCATCTTCTGTCCTGATGGACCCTGCATCAGAACACTGACTGTCAGGCTTTCAAGACCCCCCGACTGTTTGTAGAGGCGTCTTTTGTTATCACTTCTCCAAACCTAAAAAGTCTTTATTTCATGGTTCTTCTAAATGTTGTCTACTCGACACAGCTCATACAAATGAAACTGTTAAACAACGAATGCACAGCTGTCAGCAACAGTTAGTGGTCTTGTTATAGTTTCTGCATCCAGGAGTCTGCTCAGATCTGTTTGTGTCAAAGTGACTTAAGTTTTATCATGAGACGGTGAGCGCGGAGCTTACAGACACATCCACGGGGCTTAAAGTGAGATTCAAAGAAGTATAACAAGAATGACGACTCATCCAGATATCTGTGTCTGCATCCAAAACAGAATATAATCTCCAGTTGAAGCTGCTCATGTTTAAAGGATTCAGAGTTTATAAAAAAAAGAATAAAACAAGCCTAAAAACACTCATTAAAGATCCACTTCTTTTCTGTTCTCATACAGGAAGTATTTTCAAGCAAATGTAGACTTTCCACAACCTCATTTGCTTCCTTACCTGAATGAGTCCTGAAGTGCATTTCTAGACTTGACTTTCCTTTAAATTCTTTCTTGCAGACCTCACACTGATGCACAGCAGTTTTATACCTGAGAGGAAAAAAATCTGTCATTATCACACAAAGGGAACGTTTACCAAACCTCCAGGCTACTGTGTAAAGGAGATGCAGAGAGAAGCAAGTGACAACAACAACACAACTACACTAGAGAACCAGCCCGTGGTTTGTATAACATACTTCTGCCAGACTTTCTCTCCCAGATGAACACTTCTGTAGTGGACTGTCAGGTGATCATGGCGTCTGAAGCACTTGCCACACTCCTCACACTGGTGTGCTTTCTCACCTGTAATAGAAATGGGTACAGTTAAAATACTGTTTTAAGTGTTTTACGCTGTACCATGTGACTCTGTGCGGAGAAAAAGCCACAAAAGTAACAAGTAAAACTGGAGAATAGCGCTGCCGTCCCTTCCATGCTCACCAGAGTGTATTTTCTGATGTTTGGTCAGGTGATCGTGGCGTATGAAGGTTTTCCCACAAACATCACACTCATACCGCTTGTCATCATGGTGGACTCTGAGATGAAGCCTGTCCAAGGAACAGTTTTCTCATTAAAGACAAGTCCATAGTAGAAAGTTTGAAACTTTTGTGATCACCAACACCAAACGGCGTCTCCAAATCTCACAGGACCCACCTGTAGGAGCTGCCGTGACGGAAACTTTGGCCACAAATACTACAGAGGTGAGGTTTCTCTCCACTGTGGATCCTCAAATGCTCCTTTAGGGTTGTCCTGTGATGTGGAAACTCAAATATGATCATCTATGACTATTTTTTTAAAATAAATAATCATTGCTGTCTAACATAGTGCACTCCCACATAAAAACGGGCCATGTGGGAAATGTAACAGGCACAGACAGGTGTACCTTTCTCTTACTGATTTCCCACAAACCAAGCAGGTCCACTTTCTTTTGCCTCCATGTGTGCACTCGATGTGCCTCTTCCTGTTGCCGGTGTCATTAAACTGACGACCACAGATCTCACAGGGGAAAGGACCTGAAAATGAGGCAGGATGAAATCGAGTACATCAATTGCTACTTCAGTACGGTTACAAAGTACACCCTGGCACATTCAGATAACCATTCACTCTCACATGAACAAATACAGTCAATTTAGAATCACTAACTTAACCTAAACTAACCCGTCTGCATGTCTTTGGACTATGAGACGAAGTTGAAGCACCTGGAGAAAAACGTTAAAGGTTTGGATTTAATATAGTCTGAAAACATGAAAAACAAAAACTTTATCTCCTGAATATTCTCTATTTAAATACTTATCTGAGATTCAAAAATACGTTTAAATATATAAGTGAAAAAAATAGTTCTCACCTAAGTGGAACTTCTCTTGGTGTTTCAGCCTGGCAAACCTGGATTTGAAGTATTCATCACAGAAGGAGCATTTAAAAGGCCGGTCTTGGCTGTGCAGGATCATGTGCTCCTCCAGATGAGGTTTGCGAGTGAAGGTCTTGAAACAGATCTGATACAGAGAGTTCAAAGGTTACAGGTAGGATTAATTCATCATTACAGCCCATATAAAAGTCATGGGTGTAAACACTGGTTATTTCACAGATATACTAATATAAAGAGTTTCTTTAAATATTGACACAGGAAAACATTGATCAATGAGCTTAATCCATTATTATAACTTTACCACAAGACCACAAACTATCCAGTTTAGCCTACAGCTGCCATCCTGTATAAACTCTGAGCAATAAATTATTATCATTTAGTCTCTTATAAAAGACATTTCACAATAAGTTGTGTAACATGTAAATTTCCATTTTAACAAATGTTACTTGCTGAACGGTCCTTGTCTTTGAAAATAATCTGTCACCTTCCTCTCCTCTCCTTCTTACATCTTTCTCCATTTCTCAGATTAAAACGATCACACGCTAACTTTTTTCTCTTCAAACACAACAACTGTTGGAGCAGCAAACAAGAGAGACTGTGTGGCAAACGGCACAGACACTTTGTGTTTGGTGACACCTGTTGAGCTGTCTGAAAAGCTGCATTTGAAATGACATGCCACATTAAAAAATGTATGAATTAAAAAAAAAATCATCTTTGTTGATCCTCACTCCTCCTCCGTAGGCCTAGCAGAAGGCTTGAAAATAAGTACTGTAACTTTATTGACATTTGCATGCATGAATGCATGAATGCATGACAGAGACGAGAAAGGAAAACGTGTTCAAAGAGTTTGCAAGTGGGACCACAGTGGTTGTGCGTTCTGGTCTGATCAGTATCTTACCACATCAGCTGCAGACTGCAGAATGAAAAATTAACTCATTTGATAAAGGGAGGGAGAGCCTTCAGTTTTCAGGCCCCTCTTCTGTGGAACCAGCTTCCAGTTTGGA